GTTGATGCCCCTGAGAAGTGAGCAGTCTGTGTTACTGGCCCATTTTCTGATTGAAGTTGAGTAATTCAATTAGAGGTTAAGTAACTTGTTCAAGGTCACGAGTGGGTGGCTCAGACTGGGTTAGAATGAACATCATTTGACGCTCAGTCTGTGCTTTCCTGCTTGGATGTCCCTTCCCTCGTTTCTGCATCCTTGCATCCACAATCATCCTTGACTGTGTTGGGGCAGGGCCACACAGATGATGGGACTGAGTTCTAACCTGGTGGAGCTCCCAGTCCAGGGCAGGGAGCAGATGAGTCAGCCATGCAGGCACCAGGAGGTCTGGGCCCCCCCTCCCTGCCAGCAGTGAGCAAGGCTTCCTGCAGGAGTCAATGCCCCCAAGCCTTGACAGTGAGTCAGAGCCCCTGACCAAGCACGGTGGGTGGGGACAGGCTGGGCAGGAGCCCAGAGGCGGGAGAAATGTGACTGTGGTCAGTCATGTTGTTTCATCTCACTACTAAGCTGTCTCACACAATAAAAGAGATGTATTCTCTCATATAACTGAAAGTCAAGGTGGGGGCATGGCTAGATCAGGGCATCAGCACCCTTTACCTGGGCCTTGTTCAACTCTGACTTCTTCCAGATGAGCAAGCAGAGTGGCTACCACCTCCCTAGCTACCTCATCCAAACACCAAACCACTCAGAGCAAAAACAAATGTCATTCCTCCTTAAAACAACCCAAGGTTCTGCTCTAATTGCATCAGTTAGAACACACGCCCATCCCTGGACAAATAAGAAGAGTGTAAATTCTCTGCCTGGCATAGCTCACTCAGAGCCCAGCCTTGAAGAGGTGGAAGTTCATCTAACTCAAACATCAGAGCTGCTCCTTGATGGGGAAGAGGTAGAAGGGACGACTGTATACCCAGGGCCCTGCTGGGTCCCGAATCCAAGCCAGCTTCTCATGGGAAGTGAAAAATGGAGTGGTGGGCAGCACCAGATGAAAATGGCCTTGCCATCTGAGCTAAGGAGCTTGGACTCTAACCTGGAGGCAACAAGCTTGGAGATGAGGAAGCTGTAGGAAATAGAACCAAACACTTCTTGAGCCCTGGATGTTTCCAGAACATCAGTGCTGAAGTAATCTGGTTTGCTAGCTGCCCATCTTTCTACCCAAAAGTGATGAATCTCTCTTTGATCCTCACTTTCCTTGAAAAAGTCTTCCCCTTGCTACACCCTATGTGTTGAGGATTAGGAGGAATTGACCTGGCAAGTAGGGCTGGGGGAAGCATTTCAAGTAAAATCCAAGGAGACCAGGCTGCAGTGCAGAGATGTGGCAGCCATTGTTCCCTACAGAAGCCCAAGAGGTCAATATGGGGACTTGTACTGGGGCTTAGGAGGGACCCCCATTAGCTTTCTTGATTGAATATACTCTCTTTGCTCTATGTCCCTCCAACTATGGTCATTAGAAGACCCATCAACAAGATAGGGTGTCACCTCCAGACTAGAGTCCCCAGTTTCTGGTCCCCCAACCCCTCTAAGTTCTCAGGGAGGAGGGGGCATGGTGCAGGGGCTATGGGCTATGGGCTTGAATTCGGATCCTGTTTCCTCCATTCCTTGTAATCTTAGGCAAGTTGTTTTAGTTCTTTGACTCTCAGTTTCTTTCAAGCCCCAAAGAGAGAAACAAGTATTGCTCTCTAGCTTGTTGGACTTTAGGATTACACATGAGATAAGGATGTGTGAGTGACTGTCACGTTTGTTACTTGGTACACTGACCATCCAAGAATGCTCCTTCATTCACATATTGCAAAAGGAATCAAGATTTGGAAATTCCCTAACAGGTACCAGACACTGACCATCCAAGAATGTTCCTCCATTCATGTATTGCAAAAGGAATTGAGATTCGGAAATTGCCTAATAGGCACCAGACACTGAACATCGGCCATTCTCTTTTCATAACTAGGGCCCAGGAAGGGGGAATAACTTGCCCAAGACCACACAGCCAGTCAATGAGATTCTGAGCCGGGGTCATCTAAAGCCCACTCTATCAAGCCGGAACAAATTGGCAGAGCTCAGAGGCCGGGCTGGGGAGTTGGAAGGCACAAGCCTAAGTCACTTCCTCAGCCATTGCTTCTGTTGTCCTTGTGGTTGTTGTTGGAAGTCAGAATCCAGGGGAAGGAAGGCAAGCCCCACGCAGTCAGCACTCACCCTGTGCCTCCTCGATTCTTCTCACAAGCTTTCATTGGACACTTAAACCTACGAGACTCTGGTGGCAGCAAAGAAGAGTGGAACTCCTCATTGCCCCTTAACAGCCATGCAAAATAGCCTCCACCGCCCTATTTCACACATGCTCACCCAGAGGCTCTCGGGTGGTGAAGCAGTCATCTATACCGAAGAAGATCATGGCCACTGAGCAGATTCTGACTCATGGCGACCCCATGAGTTACAGTAGATCTGCTCCATAGGGTTTCTTGGCTGTAATCTTAACAGGAGGAGACCTAGTGGCACAGTGGTTAAGCACTTACTGGGCTTTTAACCAAAAGGTCGGTGGCCGGAACCCACCAGTCACTCCATGGAAGAAAGATGTGGCAGTCTAATCTCATAACGATCACAGCTTTGGAAACCCTCTGAGGCAGTTGGAATTGACTCCCTGGCAATGGGTTTGAATCTTAACAGAGGAGATCACCAGGCCTTTCTTCCGCAGCCTGCTGGCTGGGTTTGGACTTCCCACCTTTAGGTTAGAAATAGAACACAAACCATTTCTGGCACCCACAGACCTTCAAGTCTCCCATAGCCACCCACCAAGTCTGCTTGGAAACAGAAGGAAAGATGACAGGACTCACCCGGGTGGAGGTGGAGAGGGAATTTTGTATAATCAGGTAATAGAATCTCACCCTGTTTTCTCCCTTCTTCTCTGTGCAGATGACAGGCAACCATGATGCCTCCCTTGCATCGCTGGCACCAGCATGGGAGAGACAGGCCTCTAATGTAGCATAACGGCAAACCATGCTTTCTGGAGGACGGTGGTGAAGACAACTTGCCTTCATTCTGCGCCAGGCACACTTGCGAGGGGCCTGGACCACCATGAAGATTAATTACCCTCAGTCTCTTTAGGTGGGAAAGGCAATCAGTGTTATTACATTTGATTAAAGCTTCAGGAGACTTGATCGGCCCTGTTGGGATTGCTGAAGACACAGGCCACTTTATTTCCTGGAAAGACGAGCTGTAGGCAAGAAGAGCCAACACACTGTGCATGACCCCCTTAGCGTCTGTGACATCCACGGCGAGGTCCAGCCAGGGGCAGCCGTCTCCCAGAGGAAGTGAAGTTGGCCCCAGCAGGCCTGAGCCTCGTGGGAATCCCCGCCTGCCCTTCTGATAGGCCTCTGGCTCTGGGATCTTTCATTCAAATCTCTCCCCCATTACAAGTGGTTTCCTCCAGCTCGCTACCAGGAGGCGCCCACCAGGAAAGCCAATGATGGTGACGGTGAGGAAAATGAAGCTGTTCACTTTCCTTATCCTCCTCATCTTCCTCACCTCCTTCCTCCTGAGCTACACCCACACCGTGGTGACCACTGCCTGGTTCCCCAAGCAGATGGTCATTGGGCTCTCAGAAAACTTCCGGAAACTCATGAAGCTCCGCGGCAGGTCCTGCACCTGCAGCCGCTGTGTCGGGGAGCTCAGGGTCTCGCGATGGTTCGACGAGAGGTTCAACCAGACTGTGCAGCCACTGCTGACCATGCACAACTCGGTCCTGGAGGAGGATACCTACAGCTGGTGGCTGGTGAGAGCTGGCGTGGGCAATGACCTTGGGGGGTGTGGGGGGGTGGTTCTGGCAGCTAAATGCACAGGCCCAGGATGCAGCTGGGACCCCGCTAGGCATTGGCATGATTCTTTCATTCGACACGTAATCATAGAAGATATAGACAAACACACAGACAGACAGGAAGGTAGTGGCTGAAGCAGACAGTCTCCCACAGTTCTGGAGGCTGGAAGTCTGAAGTCAGGGTGGTAGCAGGTTTGGTTTCTTGTGGAGAGTCCAGGGGAAAATCCGCCTCTGCTAGCTTTCGGTGACAGCCAGTGGCATCTTCGGCTTGTAGATGCATCACTCCCACCCCCCAGCCTGTGTCTTCACTTTGCCTCCTTCCTGTGTGTCCTCTTTTCTCTGTCCCTCTCCGTCCCCAGTCTCCCTCTCCTGCCTGGTATCAAGACACTTGTCATTAGATTATCCCCCAACATACTCTCATCTCCAGATTGTTCACTTAATGACCTCTGCACAAGCCCTTTTCCCAAATAAATTTATATTCTCAGGGTCTGGGGGTCAAGATGCAGATGGGTCCTTGTGAGGCAACTGCTTAACCCACTGCAGGGACCAAGATACAAAAGAGACAAGATCCTTATTTTCCTGGGATTATATTCTGGTGGAATGGACAGATAAGAAGGAAATAAACAAGATAGATGGAGAGGAATGCACTCTAAGAACACTACAGTGAAGGTCGTGGGTCTTTGGGTGAATCAGGCCCCAGAAACCACCACCCTTGTCCCCAGGCTTTTGGGAAACAGGAATTGATTTGGTGACAGGCCTGATGGCCAAGCAGTGGGCTGGAGGGAGTTTTAGGTAAGAATTGTGGGGGGTCCCGAGCTCCAGTGCTGCTTCTGAGCCTCATCTCCTCAGTCACAGAGAAAGTGCCACTCCCGCTAACTAAGGAGATGGTGAGGGGAAGCCCTGACACCAGTATACAGCTGCCACAAGGGCGTACGGTCTCCAGGCAATTTACAAACTGCTCCACACACCCTGCAACCAAGGAGCCTGCATGTCTGCAGCCCGAGCCCTGGAGGGGGAAAGAGCAGGCTCCCGTGCCTGTTGGACCCACGGCCCCTCCGTCAGCTGCCATCCCCTGTGACCTTCTTCTCCTCTGTCCCTAGCCATCCAGGATGAGAGTCCTCTCTTCCCCAGCCGCCCTTCCAACTTAGAGGTCAATCTCTTGGAATGCTGCATCCTTCAGATTTGCTCCAAATTCCAGAGACTATGTGAAAGGACCCCAGGGGACTGCGACCCGCTGCCCTGGTTTCTGGTGGCCCTCACAGGGCCTTTCCCGCCACTAGCCTCCATGCTCAGCCTACAGCTCTGCAGTCACCCATCCAGTCTTAACACTGCGTGCCAGCTCGGCCAGGCAGTTCCGGCCAGGCTTTGGCAGCATTAGGCCTCTGGCCTGCACTACAGCTCCACTAGGGTACAGGCATTTCATCCCCCCCACTGGCCCTGACCTGGGTCACCAGCTGGTGGTGGGAGCAATTGGATCTCACTGTCTTGAAAGGACGTGCTCAGAAGCCAGGCCAGGGTGTGCAGCCAGATTTCTGTGACCTGGGTCAGCCCTTAGCTTCCCAGTGCAGGACTGGAACAGATCTGAGGTTGCGGAGGTGTGGGCCGGGAGCCAGCTGTGGCACGCAGTGACATCCCAGGCATTCAAGAACATGGCATCACAGAGCAAGACTAATTTCCGTGTCTGTTGCACTCCATCTTTCCGGCACGCAGACTGTAATGGGCCCGTTTCAGTATGTGCTGTTCTAGCCCTTGCCAATCTTCTTTCTAACAAAGAGAGGGCAGCTTGTTCAGGCAAGCAGCGGGTGCGAGCCGAGTCGGAAAGCGCTGTTTTGTTTTCATTGCGTTGTACAATGACCTTTTTCCTTCTGCCAAGTACTCCCTGCTTCCCAATTGTAGTGGAGACAAGAAGCTTCCTTTTCAAATAAGCATATTTACTTTTCTTTAAAAACAAAAAAGCTCACTGCTGTCGAGTCGATCCCAACTCATAGCAACCCCTCCTTGGGTTTCCAAGGTGGTGTCTCTATGGAAGTAGACTGCCCAGTCTTCCTTCTGAGGAGAGGCTGGTTACTGCATCATTAAGGAAAGTCAGTCAACGACAGTTCAGTGCGATAAAACACCAGGCGAGCTTGGCAGATAGGTGCACTCTGGCCTTGACTCTTCAAACCGTGTGCCTCTAGGGCACAGAGAGAGTGCCCCAGAGGTCCTGTTGGAGTATGAGTTAGAACGCCATGCTGGTCCTTGATTCCATAAACACGTGTCAAGCATCCCCGAGGAGCTCCCTGGCCGGCAGAGATCATGACACATTGTGGGGGACTGTGTGGTTCTGAGTACATTTTCGCAATGTTGGGGAGCACAGGGGCCCTCCCTGGTTAAAGCCCCACCCCAACCCCACTGAAGTTCCTGCAGGAGAGCTTGGCTGCCTGGGGGCCTGGGGGAAATGCTGGACCTCGCTGGTCCCACCCAGCCCTGCAGACTCAGGATCTGTGTCAAGAAGACCTTGGGTGTCCTGGACACACCTTCAGATTGTGGAGCTGCCCTGGCCCAACAGTGAGAAGCAGGAGTTGAATTGGCTGTTGTCTGCAGCGTTCCTCTTGACTGTGTGTCTGAGGGGCTTATTCTGGGTTTTTGGTCTTGGGAGCTTTTGTTTTTACTGTGGTTCTAACTAGAGGAGAATCTGGCTTCCTGGTCTACTACACTTTTGGGACTGCTGTCTTACTTCTCAAGGGCTGCTGCAGCAAGATACCACAAGCCAGCGGCTTTTAAGGATGGGCATTACTTTCTCACAGTCCTAGAGGCTAAAAGTCCAAATCGGAGTCTTGACCCTGTCAGTTTCTTCCTGGTCAGTAGCCGCAGGCATACCTTACAGCCTGTCTTTGTGTCTATTCTGTCTTTTTATAACTTAGCAGTGATACTTTTAGGACCCACCCTACAATGGTGTGGCCTAATTAGCATAACTAAAGAAAACCTCATTTCCAAACAGGAGCAAGTCACAGGGACCAAACCAACTGCCACCGAGTGGATTCCGACTCACAGTGACCCCACAGGACAGAGTAGAACTGCCCCATAGGGTTTCCAAGGCTGTAAAGGTTTGCACAAGCAGACTGCCTCATCTTTCTGCTGGAGAATGGCTGGTGGGTTTGAACCACCGACCTTTTGGTTAACAGCCCAATGCTTTAACCACAGCGCCACTGGGGCACCCTCGTCCACAGGTACAAGGGCCAGGAATTCGATCCGTGCTTTTGGGGGACCATAACAGATGCTGCTTCCTCCCATCTGAGGTGGGGAGCTGTACCCCGGGGCTCTCCCCGCACACTCGCTCGGCACTAATGTGAGAAGTTCTCATAGCGCACCACAGTGCCCAGAGCTGATGAGAACATCCCGTGGTCTCCCTCTGCACACCCCAGGATGGGGCGTTCGGAAGGTCAGGATTGAAGAGCTGGAGGCCGTGACAGTGCTATGGGTTTCTCGAAGCCCGGGCTAACTCCTGGTTCGGATTTGGAACACGTGGCACATTTGCTCATCCTATCTGTGCCCAGGGCCTCTCTCCTCACCTGTAGTAGAAATGATACAGTGCTGTGGCATGTGGACCGGTTGATGGGATGCTTCTGAGAACATCTGTGAGTGAGGCACAGTGTGGCCAGAGCGCCACAGGAAGTGAGCAGACACAGGCTGTGCTAGAAGGGGATGAGTGACCAGCTTGTCCCGGTTTGCCCAGGATGCTCCTTCTTTTAGCACTGGAAGTTCAGTGTCCTGAGAATCTCACAGCCGGCACGGCTGGTCACTGTCTTAGTGTCCCAGGGCTGCTGTAGCAAAGTGCCACATGCTGGTAGCTTTAAAGGACAGCCTCCTGGGGGCCAGGAGTCTGACTCAGGGCTTCATCGGGGCCGTGCTCTCTGTCTGCCTAGGGAAGATGCTGTCTGGCCTCTTCCAATTTCTGGAGGTCCTGGGTGTTCCTAGTAGCCCAGGCGTTTCTTGGCATTCCTTGGCTTGTAGTGCAACTTCATGTGGAGTCTTTCTTTCTTTTTTCTTTTTTGTAGTGCTCCTTCCCCTCCCCTCTCATCCCTGGTAACCAACAAAGAGCTTTTCCTTCCATATATAAATTTTTCCTTGACTTTTTACAATAATGAACTAATATAATAACTATTCTTCTGTGATTGACTATTTCACTCAGCATAATGTCCTCCAAGTTCATCTATGTTACAGGGTGTTTTGCAGACTCTACATTATTCTTTAGGGTTGCATAGTAGTCCATTGTGTGTAAGTACCACAGTTTGGTTATCCATTCTTTTGTTGATGGGCTCCAAGGTTGTTTCCATCTTTTGGCTATTGTAAGTAGTGCTGTGATGAACATAGGTGTGCATATATCTGTTCTTGTCCTGGCCCTCGATACTTTAGGATATATACCCAGTAATGAGATTGCTGGATCAAATGGTATTTCTAATTCCAACTTTTTAAGGGATTGCCATACTGCTTTCCACAGTGATTGCATCATTTTACAGTCCCACCAGCAGTGTATGAGAGTCTCAATCTCTCCACATCGTCAGCAGCATTTGTTATTTTCTGTCTTGTTGAACTTTACTACTAGTGCTGGGGAAACATAGTCTCTCATTGTTGTTTAGATTTTCATCTCTCCAATGGCTAATGATCATGAACATTTCTTCATGTGTTTTTTGGCTACCTGAATATCCTTTTTGGTGAAATATCTATTTTACATGGCATCTTCCGTGTGTGTCTTTCTCTCTGTTCTCCTCTTTCATAAGACACCACACAGATGGGATTAGGATCCATCCTACATGAGTATGATCTCACGTGAACCTAACGGATCCCATCTTCAATGAAGATCCTATTCCTAACAAGGTCTCATTCATAGCTATAGGGGTTAGGACTTCATCACTCTCTTTTGGGAGGACAGAATTCCATCTGTAACAGTCACTTTCAGGATAAACTAGTGTTCATCCCTGCCTGGGAGTCAGCGAGGGTGTCCTAGGGAGCTGATCTTCAAGCTAGGTCTTAGAAGATGAAAAGAATTGGCTAGACAGACATTGAAATCCTAGAAACAGAACTTGCAAAGAGGTGAGGGAAGAGCTTTGTGCATCTGCAAATGCTGACCTTTTGTTCTGGCTGGGGCCCAGCAGTCCTGGGGCTGGGGAGACCAAGGGGCAGGGAGGGTGGGAGAAGGAAGCAGAGGTGGGGAGGTGGGCATGGGGGGTTTTCTGCTCTCACCAGCCTGGCCCAGGCTACAGTGGGAACTTGAAGTCCACAGGACATGGTGGGTGTCTGGAATGGACTGTGAGCAAGGTGGGGTGGGGAGATTATTGAGGCTGACTCCCAGGTGTTTGACAGTGGCATTGAGGTTGTGGAGGGGCCGTTTGGAGAGAAGCACCCCAAAGAAGGAGCAGGTTAGAGAAAGGTGATGCATTCCAGTTGACGCTTGTGAGTTTGAGGACCAGTGAGACGAGATATGGAGGGAAGGGGACAGGTCAAGCCCACCAGGGGAAAGATGGGCTGGGTCACCTGAGCTTCTCAAAAGTGCCTTATTCATTTCAGCCAGTCTCCTTGCCCCAGGTGGCTGGACAGTATCTAGCATGCACTGCAGCATGGATAGATGGATGGATGGATGGATGGGTGGATGGGTGGACAGGTGAGTGAATGGATGGATAGGTGGATGGGTAGATGAGTGGATGAGTGGGTGAATGACTGAATGAGTGCATGCTCCCTTTCCTTTTATCTCCCAGAGTAGCCTGGGCTGTGTCTGAGCCTCTCTGACCCCAGGTGCCCAGCAGCAAGAAGGGCATTCACACAGGCATGCCCAGTATACTGGACAAGTAGCCAGCAGGCAGCTTGAGGTCAACAGTGAGGGTGCAGAGCCCATACCCAGGCTGACCTGGCCTCTGTCCTGTGCCCACAGAAGCTCCAGCGGGAGAAGAACCCCAAGGACCTGAATGACACCATCAAGGAGTTGTTCAGCGTGGTGCCTGGGGACGTGGACCCCGTGTTGGAGAATGAGTCAGTGGGCTGTCGGCGCTGTGCTGTCGTGGGCAACTCAGGCAACCTGAAGGAGTCGAAGTATGGTTCCCAAATAGATGAGCACGACTTCGTGGTGAGGTGAGCGGTGAGCCCTCGGCCCCGTGGGCCCCCACCACTGCATTGCACCCAGCAGGCTCCTCAGAGCCAGAGAAGGCATCTTGGCCCAGGGTCGGAAGGCCAAGGTTGCAGTCCTGGTGGACTTAACTTCCCTGGGACCTTAAGCTCCTCTCTCTCCCTCTGGGCTTCAGTTTTCCCATCTCTGCCTTGCAGAAGGGGCTGCACTGGAAACACCTCTCCAGGTCCAAGAGAGGAAGCCATGGCTCCAGAGGCTGGGAGCTTAGCACAGACGGGCCTATTGACAGGCCAGCACTTATCTAAAGCCTCTTGTTTTCCCTTTGCAGTCCATCCTCACTTTACAACCAGACTGCAGTATAACTATTTGATTTGAATGTAAAATATATTTTCCCACATCATGAAGTAAAATAGATACTCCAGGAAGAGACCTGGGTTTCCATCCTGGGTTTCTTGTAATCCCTAGCACACCTCATAAAAAGGCACAGTAACCCCGGCTTGAAATGTACAAGCAGGAGTGGGGCTGGCGATCCCCAGATGTCCTCTAGAATGGCCTCTTGTTCCTGGAATCTCTGACTTTATGTTCTGGACCAGTCACATGGCCTCCTGGAGGCTCAGTGTACCTGGTGTCCAGTGGAAATGCCCATGGGGAGGGTGGAGGAAGGCTCAGACTTGGAGTCAATGGTCTTGAATTTGAGGTTGCCCCTTGGGAGCTCTGTGGCCTTGGACATCCTATTAGAGCTCAGGGGTCCTTGGCCATGAAATAGGAAAAGTGCCTGCTGGGTGTGGTTTCATTAGATTTCATACAGTAGGTCTCTTGGCTATGACAGTGCTTTGCATGTCATAAGTGATCAATTAATGGGGACAGTGATATCAAGGCTCACTTGAGACCATAAAGGAGGAACAAGAAAACCTTTGAGCTATGTTGTAATTGTCTCCATTTCACCATGAGGAAAATGAGGCCCAGAGGAGGGAGTTTCCATGCCTGAGGTTACCCTGCAGGCTGCTGGAACTCTAGCCTCAAGAGTCAGTGCCCATAGGATGCAAAGCTTGTCTTTCTCTCCCTTCCTCCCAGGATGAACAAGGCTCCCACAGTGGGATTTGAGGCCGATGTCGGGAGCAAGACCACCCACCATCTTGTGTACCCTGAGAGCTTCCGGGAGCTTGGGGAGAACGTCAGCATGGTCCTGGTCCCATTCAAGACCACCGACCTGCAGTGGGTGGTCAGTGCCACCACCAAGGGCACCATCTCCCAGTAAGAACCCTCAAGGCACTGAGATGGAGGGTCCCTGCTCCCTCCACACCAGAGTGGGCACCTCTGTCACTCCAGTATGCCATTCCCATGCACTTACTCAAACAGTTCCCCTACCTGGCATGCCTCACCTCCCTGAGGCCCCTAGGCACACACAAATCCTATCTCCTATAGGCCGCCTCTGCCGACTATCCCAACTCCTGCTGGCGCCTCTAGTCCTCCATCACTGTGAACATATTGCAGGCTTTGGCCTTCCTCCTCCTGATGGTATCCAAGTGGAACTCCAAGATCTGCTTCCTCACAAACCAAATAACCAACCAGCTTCCTTCAGTTGAACCCAGCTCACGGCAACTCCAATGCCTGTCAGAGTAGAACCATGCTCCGTAGGGTGTTCAATGGCCAGTTTTTCAGAAGATCACCAGGCCTTGCTTCCAAGGTGCCTCTGGATGGCCTTGAACCTCCAGAATTTTGGTTAGCAGCCAAGGTTGCCCTCTGGTGCCTACAGTGGAGTATAGTGGGCTGCTGCTGACAGAGGGGACACAGCTGAGCAGGGTGGTGGTGTCTCTTAGAATATGAGTGGGGGAAGGGTTCTACCTCTGCCTCACCCTGCCCCCCTCCAGCACTACCCTCCACACCAGAGCTGCATGCCCAGGCAGCCCCGAGCCTATGCCCCACACTAACCAGTTGCTCTTTCTCTTCTTACAGCACCTACGTCCCTGTCCCCACGAAGATCAAAGTGAAAAAGGAAAAGGTGAGCTGATCCTTATACTCTTTTTATTGTGGTCAGCCCTGGTGGCACAATGGTTAAGTGGTCAATTGCTGAACAAAAGGTCTGGGGCTGGAACACACCAGCTGTTCCATGGCAGAAAGATCTGGAGGTCCGCTTCTGTAAAGATCATAGCCTTGGAAACCCTATGGGGCGGTTCTACTCTGCTTTATAGGGTCGCTATGAGTAAGAGTTGACTTGATCATAAGGAAGAATTTATATACATATATATTTAATTTTCAATTTATTCACCAATACCACAATTTAAATGCATCACTACTTCTTCAGTCTTCCTTATTCTTTGTCCAGCTTTTACGTGCATATGAGGCAATTGAAAAGACCATGGCTTATGTCAGGCACACCTTAGGGACCTCAGTCTTCAAAGTGACATCCTTACCCTTTAAAACTTTAAAGAGGTCTTTTGCAGCAGATTTGCCCAGTGCAACACCACATCTGATTTCTTGGCTGCTGCTTCCATGGGCAGTGATTGTGGATCCAAGTAAAATGAAATCCCTGACAACTTTAGTCTTTTCTCCATCATCATGATGTTTCTTATTGGTCCAGTTGCAAGGATTTTTGTTTCCTTAATGTTGAGGCATAATTCATACTGATTTGGTCTTCATCAGTAAGTGCTTCAAGTCCTCTTCACTTTCAGCAAGCAAAGTTGTGTCATCTTCGTATCACAGGCTGTTAATGAGTCTTCCTCCAATCCTGATGCCACGTTCTTCTTCATACAGTCCAGCTTCTTGGATTATTTGCTCAGCATACAGATGGAATAAGTATGGTGAAAGGATACAACTCTGATGCACACCTTTCCTGATTTTAAACCATGAAGTATCCCCTTGTTCTGTTTGAATGACAGCCTCCTGATCTATGTATAGGTTCCTCATGAGTACAATCAAGTGTTCTGGAATTTCCATTCTTCACAATGTTATCTATGATTTGTTATGATCCACACAATTGAATGCTTTTGCATAGTCAATAAAACATAGCTATTCCTTCTGGAATTCTTTGCTTTCAACCAAGATCCATTTGACATAGCACATTCTGTTGGATCACCATTCTTTGGAATGGGCACAAAGATCTCTTACAGTCTGTTGGCCAAATAACTATCTTCCAAATTTCTTAGCACAAATGACTGACTTCCTCCAGCACAGCATCCATTTGTTGAAACATCTCAATAAGTAATCTGTCAATTCCCGTAGCCTTGTTTTTCACCAATTCCTTCAGTGCAGTTTGGATTTCTTCCTTTAGTACTAGTTCTTGATCATATGCTACCTCCTGAAATGGTTGAATATAACCACTTCTTTTTGGTACAGTGACTCTGTGTATTCCTTTCCTCTTCTTTTGATAGTTCCTGCCTCGTCCAATATTTTGCCCATAAGAATCCTTCAATATTGTAACTGAAGGCTTGAGTTTTCTTCACTTCTTTCACCTTGAGAAATGCTGAGCATGTTCTTCTTTGGTTTTCTGACTCCAGGTCTTTGCACATTTCATTATAATACTTTATTTTGTCTGAAAGAAGTTCAGCCAGAATGCTCCTTAAAATGAGAATGGCCAGACTTTGTCTCATGTACTTTGGTTGTGTTGTCAGAAGAGACAGTTAATATTTGCCATCTCAACATTTTTATGTATACAATTTAGTGACATTAATTACACTCATTGTGTTGTACAACCATTGCCACAAGTCCTTTTCCAGATTTTTCTGTCACTCTCAACAGAAGCTTGATGTCCCTGAGCAGTGACGCCTGCTTCCCCTCCCTCCCACCCCTGGTGATCACGAATAAATTTTGGTCTCTATCCATCCGTCTCTTCTAGATCTTTCATGTAAGTGGGCTTGTACAGTGTTGGTTCTTTGGTCTCTGACTTACCATCCTCTTTCTTGTAGCGAGTTAGGTCATTGTCCAAGAATGCAGGGGGATTTGCCCACTTGCTCATGCCATGTCCCCCATGGGTATGACAGTGCTGGCGTGGGACAGGGGCTCAGTGTCTCACTCACCCCATGTCCTTCCCCTCCCTACAGATCCTCATCTACCACCCGGCCTTCATCAAGTATGTCTTTGACAACTGGCTGCAGGGCCACGGTCGGTACCCATCCACGGGCATCCTCTCGGTCATCTTCTCGCTGCACGTCTGTGATGAGGTATGCCCACCAGGCTGCCCAATATGGGGGCACACCAGTCCTTGTACCTAAGAGAGGGGGTGGGAGCAGTGGTGAGAATGTCAGGGTCTGGCTGACCTGGGTCCTCCCACCAGTCACCAGGAGGACCCAGGCCAGGCCCTTCTCTTCCAGGGCTCAGGTTCCAATCCGCCACCCTCTCATCCAGGTGTTCTCAGGAGTAAGAAAAGGCCCTGTGAGGGTGTGGTCAGGAAGTGAGCACTTGCCCTTGGCATCAGCCACCCAGGCTGAACCAGGCCAGGGGCCGGGTCTCGGATTTGAGACAACGTGAGGAGCAGGTTCTCGTAGGGAGAGCTCTCAGGTCATGACTGTGTATTAGAACCGTCTGCAAGGTTTTAAAAATCCCAATGCCCAAGCCATGCCCTGGCCCGATTTCATCAGAATCGCTGGGCATGGGAACCAGGCAGCTGCACTTTTTAAAGCCGCCGGGAGCTTCCTCTCTACCCCAAGGTTGAGATCCAGTGGGCTTGTGTGGCACGGATTTTCATCACACATCCCCAGTTTCCCCAAGACCATTCAAAGGGTACCTGTGGAAGGCAATGGACTTGGGTTTTACTTAAACTTCCTTGGGCACCCCCAAGACCCTGGGAGTTCAAGGACCATGGAGAAGGGTCTACACGCTTCCTTGGGAACGGTGCTCACAGTGCTGCCTTGGTTCCCTGGAGCTCCTGGGACAGAAATACCACAAATGGGTGGCAGAGCAGAAATTCCTGTCTCACAGCTCAGAGCATGGGGCTAGGAGGAGTCTGTCCTTGTCTATTTCAGCTTCTAGGAGCTGCCGGTGATCCTTGTGGATGCTCTGTCTCCACATATGTCGTCTTCCCCCATAGGGACATCTGCGCCTCTTCTGCTCTTTTTGCAACTCAGAAGGGCTTAGGTCTGACTTCATTAACAATATAAGAAAACTCCTCTTTCCAGACAGGGTCATACTCACAGGTACAGGGTTTAGGACTTCATCACGTGTTAGGGGACATAACTCAGTCCATAACAGGTAGCCTCGGACTCTGGGTGAGCCTGCAGGCTCGCTTTCTCAGAGCTCTGCCCGCCGCCCCGCGCTCCGTTCTCACCGTCGGTTTGCCCCCTCAGGTGGACTTGTATGGCTTCGGGGCCGACAGCAAAGGGAACTGGCATCACTACTGGGAAAACAACCCGTCAGCAGGCGCTTTCCGCAAGACAGGGGTACACGATGGAGACTTTGAGTCCAACGTGACAGCCACCTTGGCGTCCATCGGCAAAATCCGCATTTTCAAGGGGAGATGAGACTGGGAAGGATCAGGGCCGCTGCACCGGGCCGCTCCTCTTCACCTCCAGCCCCCACACCTCGCCGGAGCCACCCTGTCCTGGGAGCTTCGAGGGCCAGCCGCACGGGTGTCTCCAGGGGCCCCTCCCAGCCACACACACCCCAGTTTTGGGCAGCATCTGCTCACAGGGTCACTGAGTCCTGGCAGGCTGCAGATTAGGCCCTGGGATTGGCTGTGGAAGAGACAACGTGGTCCTCAGGGCTGGAGAGGGCGAGGAGGTGCCGGGTAAGGTTCTCTCTCAAAGCACTCAAATCATGTTGGCCTCTGGAGGCAAAGGGCCCAAGTCCTGAAGAGCATCTTCTCTGAGGAAAAGGACCATTTCCCTGGGAGGGTGGACAGGAGGCTTCCCCTGCCCAGGGGTCCTGCTGACTTCAGCTCCAGTCCTCGCAGGGATGTTCCTGGGTGAGGATTCTTTCTAGGACACGGCCATGGGCCCACGCAGCACTGGGGTGAGATGATGCCTTCATTGCTGGGCCACAGCCCGGCCCCTCGCTTGGCCAGGGGAGCTCGTCCGTGATGGCCAGGAGGGCCCCCCACCCCAAAGATCTTCACAGCAGCTGTGTGAGGTGGTTCTAGCTCCGGAGACAGACATCTTCTTCCCAAACAGGTTCTCCTCCGATTCACCCACCTTTGTAATTACAATTGTGGCTGAGAGCAGACTGGACTCTCTCCATGTGCCTTTGTGTCTGGGAAGGAAGTACACACGTGAGGTGGCTTGAGGCAAACCTCTGACCCTGAAAGGGAGCGCCACCCTCGGCTGCCCCTGCTCCGGGGCTGGGGACTTGGTCTTCCCGTGGCAGCGCCCGATTGGAACAAAGGTCTGATGGCGTCTATCCGGCATCTCCTGCAGAGGAGCTCAGCCACAGAGAGCCGCGCTCATTCTTAAACACGTTGGACTTGGTGCCCATCACCATCCAACACCACGCAGAGGCCCTCCTTCGCCCAGAATCTTCCCCAAAACCTGAGGTTCCGGATAAGTTCACGCTGGCCAATGCCACTTTGTCCTGGGGTGGGGAGGCAGGCCAGGGGACGGTGACTGACAAAGGGAGACAAGTCATACCTCATCCTCTTCCTCCCCTGTGGGTCTCTTTCTTCTTCCTGATTATTTATTGATTCTTTGTAATTCACCTGACATTCTGTGCACTCTGGGGCTCTCTTGCTGGTCTGGGGTCTTAGCTGTTGCTTCACCAGGCAGTTGGGCATTGGGAGCTGAAATGAAGGTTTGCATGAACCCTTGAGCTTGGGGCTTCAGGGGTATCTAGGGCTTGGGGAGAATCCCGTGGCTTCAGGTTGGTAGTTTGTGGAATGCTTTGTGTCCCACCTTCCAGCTCAGCCTGTCTTCTCGTAGCAGGTTGGATTCCGTCTCAGGTTAGCAGTGTCCCAGAACCCAACAAAACTGCGCTGGGGGCCGGTGATGTGGGGGCGAACCAGTTCCTGATATTTAATCAGAACCCCTTTCCCGTTGAAAGCCTCATCCTAGAAGGCCACTACTGCTCCGGGGAGGTGCACAGGTTCCCTGGGGGCATCTGCGGGCTGCCTCTGCGGACCTCCGCTCTCTGGGGAGGTTGCTGTCACCAGCCGCAGCATCTCGCTCTGCAAGCTGGGAGGCAGGGATTGGGGCAGCTCGGGCCCTTGGCCATTTACAAGAGTCCCCAGACATTACCCGCCAGGCTTTTTGGTTTATTTTTTTTTTTCTTTTTGAGTCTGGGCATATGAGCATTTCTCTGGGGAGAGGTTCCAAAGCTTTCTTTATGCCAAGAGGTTCAGGATCCAGAAAGTGGTTATTTTTAGTTCTGACTTTACAGTTCTCCAAAACGCACAGCCCTCGTGACTGAAGGAGGCTCTTAAGTGCTGTGAGGTCATCTCACTGAGTGTAAGTCCTCCAAGGCCACAGCTCGCAGCTGCTGTACAGGACGCGAGGCACCCGGAAGCAACTGACGACTCGGAACAGGTGCTGACATAGAGAGCAGTGTCCACTGCACACGCCCCCCTTCTCCTAAAAGCCGAGTCTACTTAGGGACAGGGGTCCAGGCAGAACAATCTACCCATGTGAGCTTTCCAGAGTCAGAAGAAAAGGCTCCGTCCCATGGGAGCTGGGTGCTGCGTGGATCAGATTCCCACCTCCCTCCTTCTAGTCACATGTTAACCCCATGAGGCATCTCCCTGCTCTCCCATTTTATGGCTAAGAACATCAAGGCCCAGAGGAGGGAAGTGACTTGTGAAACTGAACAGTCATTGTAGAGGACACACTTCAAACAGTTTTGATCAATAATAAGATGTTGTTGCCTCCATATTTAAAATATCCAAAGATGAGTTTTTCTAGCGAGGCTCTGTCCACCGTCCGCCTAAAAATGTCACCACGACATAGGTTTCTCCCCTCTGCCTCCCGCCACCCAGTTTCCCCCTCGGGCTGCCCATAGTGGCCCTTGTAAGCACCAGACTCCGCCATCGCCCCCAGTCCCTTCCCGTGAGGACAGCGTCCCTCCTTCCCAGAGCCTCAGCAAGCAGCTCTGTATCCCAGTGGTTTAGCAACAGGCACATAACCAAATAAAGCCAATCATTGTGGCCGGGAGAAAATGCAACAACTGGCCGCTCCATTCCAGGGCTGTGGGTGGCTGAGACCCGGGACACAGGTCTTGTACAGGGCATTAGGCTGCTATGGGCAGGAGCATGCCTGTCTGCCATGCTCAGAGCGGAGGCCTGCAGCCCAGCCTAGGGCTCTGTCCACCTGCAGCCAGGGAGTTCCTTCCTTCTTCGGCCAACATGCTGGCTCGATGCCTCAGAGCTGGTGGGGGTGGCCCAGGAGAGCTGAGCAACATGCCAGCCTTCAGCGACCCCTAGTGGGCTAGGATGCTGGCTTCCTGGGGCGGGAACGCCCCTGCAGCAAAGCCACCACCTGTGCGGCATCCTGGGGCCTCCACTCCCCGTGCTCAGCTCTGCCTTCCTGTTCCAGGAGGAAGGAGGCTGATTTGTGCTCTGGCTCCGTGGCGGGACTTGGCCAGGGAAGAACTGACAGCTCCTGAATCGCTGGCTTTGTCCAGCAAATGGGCAGGCCGAGTTGGAGATGCCAGGTTCCAGCCAGCAGAGCACAAACTACGGACACCAGCCCAGCAGGTGGACAGGGTCTGAGTGATTCTCACAGAGAGGGGGTGAGCCGGAGCCTTCAGTGGCCCCAGTCCCTGCTGTGGTCAGGGGGGCTGGTACAGGTCAGTCTTGCCGCCAGGTGAACTGGGCCTCGGGCCAAAGGCAGAGCGTTCAGGGCCTCAGGGGATATTTAGAACTGTGAAGTTCGCTTTCACTGTTCTCAAGGCAGCCCGAACACAGAGAAAAAAGGAAAATGGTAAAGAACTGACTTTCTCACACGGTTATGGTTAAATGTGCTTCTCCAGGGAAGCCACACTCTGCTACAGTGGCTGAACGCCAAGCCTGTGCCTTTGGGGATGGGCAGCTGTCCTCACTCCTCTGAAATGCTCAGAGGTCTGAGCACCTTCACCTTGGCCTTCAGTTTGCAGCCAACGACTGTCACCCCCAGGCATCCTCCTTTTGTTCGTCCTGAAAATATCACCTCTCCCACCCCTAGGTACTTCCTGGCAGCTCTGTGCAGAGGCAAAGAAGGCCTGGCTTCATTTCCTAGGGCTGCCGGGACAGAGGTACCTAAGAGGGGGCCTTTGAAGAACAGAAATGTGTTTTCTCACAGTGCCCACTGCTCCTGTGAGCCCCTTTCTTCATTTCTGGTGTCCTTGGTTCTCTTGAGGAGCTCTGGTGGTGTAGTGCCTAAGGCACTTGACTGCTAACCAGAAGGCTGGCAGTTCAAACCCACCAGCCACTCCTTGGAACGAAGGTTGGGCAATCTACTTCTGTTGTGATACTGCCTCAGAAACCCAAGGAGGGGTCGCTATGAGTTGAAATTGACTCATGGCAGTGAGTTTGGTTTTTGGCGGTTCCCTTGACATCTGTCTTCCCCTGTGTCTCTGTGTCTGTCCTGGTCTTTGCGTAACTGGGAAGCAGCGAGGTTTAGGATGCACCTGGTGTGACCTCACTATTCTCAGAGCAGGAGAGCCTGTTTCCTAATGGGATCCCATGCACAGGGACGGGAGGGGGGATTCCGAGATCCTCGTGCCACCCAGACTCAGGCAGGAGGAAAGCAGCAGGGACGGCACCTTCCTGTGGAGCAGTATCAGGGCGCCAGCGACTTGGCTTTTCTGAACACAATACTGAGGTTCCTAGAAGGAGCAACCTGCTCCGAGCCTCCTGGTTTCCCTCCCCGCAGCCCGATGGCCCTGCGCAGCCTGATACCAAGCCTGCCACCCAGCAGCCCAGCGCAGTACAGAGCGCCCTCCTGCAGACAAGCCAGCCGAGCCATCCTGAGCCCCCCACCCCAGCGCAGTACAGAGCGCCCTCCTGCAGACAAGCCAGCCGAGCCATCCTGAGCCTGGGCCAGGACCCCGGCCGCCGGGGTGAACTGGCCTTCATCCTTGCTGCACGGTCACGTTGGCCCCTCCGGAGCCCCTTCTCAAAGCCAAAGTTCCTTGAGCACTTTTTCCTCTCTGCGGCCTCGCTTGTTTTGTTGGTCGTTTAAAACCTGCTTTCTCTCCCCCTTCCTGGCCTGTGTTAGTTCCACAGCTGAATGTTAGGCTGGATGTGTTTTGAATGAAGTTACAAGTCTGTCTGCCCAGCCCCTGCTCTATTTTATTTATTCCTAAACATTTCCAATGATCAGAATCAAAATGAATAAAAAGAAGAGCTATTTTATCCTTGGGTGTGATTGGCGTTTTACTGCAGGGACCAGGCTTTGGTGCTGCCCTGTCTCCGTTTCAGAAAGCTGCTGGTGACCCAATGGTGCTGCTTTTTGTTTGCTGAGGGCCCCTGGGGTTAGTCAGCTAGCATGGGCCTTGGGAGGCATCGCCTCAAATGTCACTCCACCACTCCCCGCTGTGTGTTTGTGCCAAGTCAGCTAAC